TCCCGTTTCCCATTAACCCATTTCCTCCTACTCCTAGAAGCCAAAATCCCTAATCCCATTTACCATATCCCAAATTCCCAATTTCCATCCAATTTCACGCGAGGTGAGGCGGCGCCGCGACGAGCAAGGTAATCAAATCAGATTATTTTCCATTTCCACAAAAAAAAACTGTGCATTCCGTCTCTAGTTGTCGTTCGTCGTCTCTAGCTGCCGTCCGTCTGATCTAGCCGTGATAATTGGTAAGCAACTTTACAGTTTCAGCTTCTGATTTTTCATCTTTCAAATTAGGGGAAGATTTCAGTTCTAGAATTTGAAGAGGATGTGATTGAAGACTAGGAATCCAAATGTTATTTTGTTTGAAGTGTAAATTATTTTCTGTTTGAAACTAAATTATTCAAATTTAGTTCCTGATAATGATCTACTTGCATTAATCAGCGGCAATGTACAGGGTGTCGAACTCGAACAATGCTTGCTTTGCTACTGTAGTTATTAATGTCCATTTAATAAAAAGAAAAAGATAGTCTTTTACTTGGAACTTCATTTGTAGTCTAGTTTTGTTACTTTATTTAGTTAGAAGAATTTGTTTCTAAGGTTTTCTTTATCATTGGAATAATCGGTAGAATTATGCAATTTATTTCCTTGTAATGAAGATTTAATTTGGTTTAGCCATTTCGTATGGATTGGATAATGCATTAAGGTGGTTAGATAATCCCAGTTTATTAGAAATGGGCAATTTACATGTATACACTAGAATGTTAATGGGAATTAAAAAAATACTAGGTGGTTTGTATGAATTGAAATATTCTCATAAATCCTAATTTATTATGAAAGAAAGGATTTACGGCTATCACTGCGCATTTTATAGATGAAGCTTGGAAACTTCAAAATCGTATTATGAGATACTTTGATCTTGTATAAATTAATTAGTTTATTTTAATGATCCATTTAAAATTATTTATCATATTTATGTTGCTTTTATTTTAATATAGGTTCATATATGTGCCATGTCCGCACACGTCTGAGGCATTGAGTACATCATTGATGGAGTGTTTATTGGATTGGAATATCGATCGTAAGTTGTCTACTTTGACTGTCGATAATTGTACTACAAATGATGCCATGATCAACATTCTCTTAGATAAGCTTTCTAGTATTTCGCTCTTGTTAAATGGTGAATTTTTCCATATGCGTTGTTGTGCTCATATATTGAACTTGATAGTTAAAGATGGTTTGGAGATCATTAACTCGAGTGTTGAGAAAATTCGTGACAGTGTTGCATATTGGACAGCAACTCCAAAAAGAGTAGAAAAATTTGAGAGTTCTGCACGTCAATTGAAAATCTCTTGTTCCAAAAAGTTAGCACTTGATTGCAAAACTAGGTGGAATTCTACGTACTTAATGCTTCATAGTGCTTTACATTATATGTATGTTTTTCCTCGACTAAAGCAACGTGAGTCACAATATAGATGTTTACCTAGTGATGAAGATTGGAAATTTGTGGAAGAGATATATGACAGGTTGGAAGTTTTTTTTGAAGTGACTGAAATATTTTCTGGGACTAAGTACCTAACGTCAAATCTTTATTTTTCTAATATTTGTGAGATAAAGTTATCAATTTACGATTGGATGAAATCACCTTATGAGGAAATCAAAATGATGGCTTTCAGTATGATTGACAAGTTTGAAAAATATTGGAGTGAGATTCATGGAATTTTGGTAGTAGCTAGTGTGTTGGATTCAAGATTTAAAATGAAGTTGGTTGAATATTATTTTCCGATGATTTATGGAAATGAAGTTTCAGATCTTGAGATTGAAAAGATTAGGAAGTTTTGTCACAAGCTGCTAAATGAGTACAAAATAAGACATGGATCAAGTGGAAACATGACTCAATTTTCAAATGGGATCGAGGCATCTACTTCATTAAGCAAAAAAGATCGATTGGCGCAATTTGATTTATTTGTGTCTAATACCACTAGTACTGATAGTACGAAGTCAGAGCTTGATATTTTTTTGGAGGAGCCTCTATTACCTAGATCTAATGATTTTGACATATTAGCATGGTGGAATGCAAATTCAACAAAATATCCTACTTTGCAAAAGGTTGCAAGAGATATTTTAGCTATTCCAGTATCCACAGTGGCATCAGAGTCTGCATTCAGTACTAGTGGTAGATTTGTTAGTCCACACAGAAATAGGCTTCATCCAAACACTTTGGAGGCTCTGATGTGTGCTAGAGATTGGTTATGGGCCGACATTCATGGTACAAGAAATACAAATTCCTTTTATTTTCATAATTGTGTTTTTTATTATTTCTTTACTGCTAACTAGTTTTACTTATTGTTAGAACATTCACCACCTTCATCATACTTTGGATGTTCTAGTACGCAGTTGAGTGACACTGATATTGAAGATGAGGTAAATTGATTTTTCTTTAAATGGATTTGTATACAAATAGTTAATGTATCATTTGTCTAACTAATAATCACTTTTGATAGTCATCAATTTTTAAGGAGCCTGATATTGACATTCTAGACGATGGCAGCACTTGAAGAATGAAGATTTACAACATGAAATGTTGTATTATGTGATGTTTGCCCGCTATCTTGTAATCTTCAAATTAAATCTTGAATGGGTATTGTAATCATATAACATGATCAAGTACTTTGGATTTAATCTTTATTTCATTTTTAAGGGTTTTATATTTGTTGTATTATAAAAATGTCGTAATCAAATACCTATATTAATATTAGAAGCTGAAAAAAAAAGGAGGGGTAATAAACGGGGCCGTGCCCGCCCCCACCCTGCCTTAAACGGGGGACGGGGCGGGGAATTGTTTAACTGGGCGCCTCCCCCGCTCCGCCTCGCCCCGTTGCCATCCCTAGGCTAAACCAACCCTAAAATTCAAATTTCATTTTTCTCATCTGCTAGATACCCTCATTTAGGTAGCATGATCCAAATTATATCTTCTATGCATAACACGCATGCAATTATCCCTATGACCAAGGATCATTTGATATTAGTAGAAACACCAATAAAATATGAAAATTAATTTGAAGATAAAATATTTATTTATTAATTAACTGAAATTATCTACAAAGATAAGTAACCTCGATTTGTGGTACTGTTCTGATATTAAATTTCTTCTAACTTTTGCTTGAACTCATCTAACTCTTCTTGAAGCTCGACTTGCATATTTCGGAAGACATGCTCCTATTTAAAGAAATGGCTAAGTGGACTAGCACGTTGAATGTCTAATATGTTGTACTGAATTATTTGCATTGAGATTTGTATCCGAACCTCTTCAATTCTCATATTTGATAATGATGTTTTTAAGTTTTTTTCGAAACAATAACGTTATTTATCATTAGTAGATATTATCATCAATTTACGGGGTAATAGCAACTCCACTAAATAATGAGTGGTCCGCTGTCGTATAAATCAATTATGTTAATTACGAATAACATTACTTTTTTTGAAACTCTCTCAATATAATTTTAGCCTTAAATATTTATTTAGTACGGAGAGTTTCATTGTATAGAGTCGGTTTGCTAGTCTTTTACTAAACCATTTAGCAAAGCACTCTTCATCATATAACATTGAGAAGTGTCCATCAATTCATCAACACAATTGTATTGTATGACCAATTTTCTATCCAATCGCTTTAAGACCACTTTTTCATTAGCCAACATGTAGACAAAATGTACAATAAATCAAACTTCCAATCATAAAGTAGTTTGCCATTCAAATTGGCACACTTATATATTAATATTTAAAGATGTCCATATTGGAACTTTTGACCACAACTTTGTGGGATATTTTGAACTTCTCAAGACTTTCAAAAACATCTGGAACTTAGAACGCATCACTAACTCTCATGAAATTGTTGACCATTCTCTATAATTACATGAAATATTAATTGAATAATATATGAGAAAAAATAATTTTTAGTGTGTTAGATTCATTGAACTTGATAATATTTGATGAAGATTAAAATCAGGTTTTTAATAGTTTTGATAAAAAATAATGAAATGTATGATTAAAAAATGAGTAATGTTATTCATCTCCAGTGAGAATGAAAACACAGTGTATATGACTTTAAATGATATGTTAAATGAAATGTGAAATTAAATGACTTATTTATTTCACCTATCATTTAATACCATATTGACGCCGATAGATTGTGTTTTCATCTCCATTGGGGATGAATAGCATTACTCTTAAAAAATTGTGAATCTCATAAATATGTGATCAAAATTTATTACTGACTTTGATTTAGTGCTTGTTTAGAAGGGATTTTTGGGGGGAAGAATTGATTTTGAATAGTGATATGATAGGAAATGTATGGTTTAAAAAGAAGAAAAAATTATTGATGTGATGGAAAATATTATTTTATTGAACAATGTATGGTTAAAATAAGAATTAATTTACTGTAAAATTTTAAAAATCCCTTCCAAACGGGGCCTTAGATTAAATCTTACCACCAGGGGCGTGAATATTGAAGAAAGAAAATTACATGGTTAAAACTTTTTTTAATAATTATGTACCATCACCATAGTGATCGTGTTGCCAAGTGGACCGGTGATATCGTATGCTGGCATCACCATGAAATAATGTCTGACTTGGCCGCCATGTCCACGGAATCTTTTGACCCACGTGCAATTATGTGTTACACCAAATTTATATGCATGAAATTTGTATTTTTGACTATAATATCCTCCTTGGGCTTCTATATATATATATAGTCAAAGTTCTAGCAGTTTATAAGGTATAAGATTTTCTTACGATCAAAGACCACTTCCAAGTAAGAAGCAGAAAATCAAAGTAAAACACAAGAATTCAAACCTCAAACTCTCTTATAAAGAGCAGTAACTTTGAAAAATTCATTCATGGATTCTTCATTCTTACATTACTCTTTGAACACACAAAATCAAGTTCCGCCATTTACAATGCACCATTCACAAGCCCAACATCTTCCTTTCAATGAGAATGACTCCGAAGAGATGGTGCTCTATGGAGTATTAGCAGAAGCCGGGAGTGTCGAATCCTCATCGGAACGAACTGATCGAATGCAGTACTCGCCGGAGAAGGAAGTAATGTATAGAGGTGTACGCCGGAGACCATGGGGAAAGTACGCCGCTGAAATAAGGGATTCTACGAGGAATAGCGTGAGAGTGTGGTTGGGAACTTTTGACAATGCAGAAGCAGCAGCCTTGGCTTATGATCAAGCGGCATTTGCCATGCGAGGGTCGACCGCGGTGCTCAACTTTCCGGCCGATGTTGTTTACGAATCTCTGAAAGAGATGAGGTACGGTTTCGAGGCTGGATGTTCGCCGGTGCTGGCATTGAAGAAAAGACACTCTATGAAGAGGAAAGCAGCGAGTAACAAGAAGAAGAAGGAGGAGCTAAGGCTAGAAAACTTGGTGGTTTTGGAGGACTTGGGTTCTGAATATTTGGATGAACTCCTTAGTTTGTCTGAAAAGTCTTCTACTTGGAGAAGAATCAACAATAGTTCAATTGGTTAGTAGGTGTAAATCAACGAGCCTAAAAATAAATGATAATACTTATGGTTCAGTATATCATAAAGATTCTACTGTTTGGTAAAAAATCGAAGGATATGTACCTTACGTTAGAATGAACTTGATGGATTATAAATATGAGATACAATTTCAATTTTGTGTCGAGTTCTATCTAACGTTGAAAATAGTTGTCGCCTTTCCTTTGATATAAATTTAAAGGATAATAGAATGCAGGAATGTTCATTTAATCCAAATCCCAGATTAGGATAACAATTCAACTTTTTGTGAGATTTGAATTTTGTAGTAATATATTAGACCAGAATAATAGGTGTTTTTAACTTTTGCTAATCTCTCTTCGTTGGAAAAGTCATGCCCACTTGCCAATTCCCATTACCTTTAAATAATATAGTAATTCGATAAAGATGACTCTCTCTCGTTCATAAAAATTAATGACACGTGTCCAATAAGGGTTAACGTAACTCATAAAGAAAAAGTGATATAATGAATTGGTTAATTATTTTATTTAAAAGGGAATTAGACAAAATATCCATTTTCTTAAATGAATTTGGAAAAAATGAATAATTAATTTTTAAATTTACACCAAACACAAGCATAGTGACATTTGGAAAGAAATAGCCATTTAGTGAAAATTCAAACTGAAATGCCTACATTTGGCCCAAATGCTTATTCCATCAAAACCTTCATTTTGAAATTTGAAACACCGCGAAAAAGCAAGGAGAACCCATGTTTAGAGCTTAGGACACCAGATTAGTTGCTTATCGTTCGTATCTTGCATTGTTCTGTGTTCTTTGTGGCAAAAATGAAGAGGGTAATGCCCAATTTATGTGTAATGTAGGACTGGAGGCAAAATTGGAATAGAAAGTTGTGGTAGCAGAACCCATTGTTGGGACCCATAAAAACTGATGGTGCAGCGGGTGAATGGTTCATCCATCTCTCTCTACAGTTATATTACACTTTGTCGAGTGTTTGGTTCTTATATTCAGGAAAAGTACGAGGGGGTTCTACATAGTTTTTAGACCCACTTTCCACTGATTGCAACAGACTTCATATTATTAATAAAATGAGAACTAACTGCGCCTTTTATGAAAACTAGTATTTGCCCGTGCAACGGGATTGGTTATTTTATAGGCAGTGTTGGTTTTAAATGTGTTGAATCACCATAGACGGAGAAGAACTCCATCTCCGTTGATCTCTGTTGCAACACAGAGAAAATTAGTCCTGAGAATAGAAGGGAAAATAAACTGTCTTACACATTACAAAACAATTAATAAACGAGCCAAGATTCTCATCGGCGCGAGTTATCTTAATTGTATATAATGCAAACACTCAGATAACTGACATCTTATAAACAAATAATGTAAGACTCTTCATCCATTATCTTCCAAGAGTTTTTCCTGTCCTTCTCTGAGCAATGTTTACAAAGGCTTAACTGGATATCAAAGCATTTTACCTCATTGATGAGAGGTGTAAACCTCAATACAAACTAATGATAAAATCAAAACAACACAAAGAAATGCAAATATATGCTAGTAATGAACAGTATACTACCTATAAATCCATATTACGAGTCTAATTTGCAAGCTAAATAGTCAAATTGGTAATCATAAAGAGAATCATCTATTCAATTTCCCTATCCTCTTCAACGTGACTATCACTTCGTCCTCTCTTTTTTTTTGCCATCCTCCACTTGCAATAACGTCTTCCCCATCTCTATAAATTTCGAAAACAATAACACGATGATGACAATAAAAAATTATAAAAGGAAACAAAGAGCTACTTTACTCTTATCATTGGTCGCATGCCACTGAAAAGTTGCAACTCCGCTTGCGACTTGGTAGAGTTGTTTATAGCAGTACAGTTCAAACCATACAAGTCCTTAAATTTGTCTTTTTTCCTCTGTTTAGAAAAAGACAATAATAATTTCGAAAGGTAGCTAACCTCATAACATATAACACCAGCAGTGAAATGACAGCAAAAAGAATTGTTTCTTTTCATGGACATAACAGTTGAATTTCAATCTGGAAGGACGAAATAATCTAAGGAAATGCTTTAAGTATAAAAAAAGAAAGTAAAACAGGAAAGAGGATAAAATCCCCCACTAAATCAAATGCTTATAAAGAAACATAAGATCTAATTTTCATTAATAAGGCATCGGTTGATAATTAAGGAGCTGAAAATCAAAAGCATTCATTTCTTGGATAACGGCAGTGTGAAATGTAACTGACCCAGATCTTAAATACGCCAGAAATTAGAGGAAATCCTTTCCTCCATTTGAAATATAAACCCTTAATGGACTTGAGATAAATGAACGAAAATAAGCCACGTTGTTTGAATTTTAATCAAAGAGTTACGAAGTCACACAAATTGCATCCATAAATTGCACGAAATTTTTTTTCTATTCTACTCAAAACTGAATAAAAAATTTCAGAAAATTCACAAATCTCACTTTCTTTCGATGATCCGGCTGCATTGTACACAAAATTCAATTTCCAAAAACCCCTCAACTAAAAACTGCAACTTATGAAATATATTGCACCCACAGCACTATCAAAAACAATAATTTCTCCATTAATTAGAATAAAAAAATAAACAAACTCATATACATTCATGAATATATGAAGGTTTATATACCTGTAGGAAGACAGTGCCATCGGTGTAGGCATGGGGATTAATTGCACGAGTGGTGCGTTGACCACAGGCGTTGCACGTGAATGCCATGCGCATACGCCGCCTTGGAGACTTGCTGAACAGAGACCACGGGGAAGGTAGATATCTGCTCCGTTGACTGAGATAGCAGGAACCGACGGACCTTCCATGCCCGATCCAGTTATCCATCCCCTCTCGTTGGCTGCACTCAATACCAATCCCATGGCCGCATCCTGCCAAGAAAAAATACCCAAAAATTTAACCTTGTATCTTCAAATTTTATACAAATTGCAAACCAAAATAACCCCTGTATCTTCAAAATTCAGTCACCATTTAAATTGTAAAAACCCAGTCAAAATCACCCCAGTATCTTCAAAATTTATAAAAGTCACCAATCAAATTCTAATGACCCAATAAAAAATAACCGAACTATCTTCAAAACCATATAAATCGTTACAAATTAACTTCTTATACCTTAGAGAGAGTATGACTGCCAAGGATGGGAACAAGGCTGGACTCGGGTGGCCGGTTTGAAATCGGGTCCGTTCCCATCATCTGAAAAGGAAAAATAAAAATAAAGAGTGGTTAGCAGTTAGGATAATCAAAAACGGAGGGAAAAATAAAAAATGCAAAATTGGGGAACTTACTTTTGGGGGAGGTGGAGAAGCGGGCGAGACGATGGGGGCGAAGCATCTTTATATTTAGGGGAGAAAATTGGGAGAGAAGAAGGGGAGGAGGCAATGGTCGCGATGGATTCCATATGGATAGTGGGATTTTAGTGTCTGAATTTGTGTAGTATTTGTTGGTACGTGGAGTTCCAGAAATAGAAAATTGAAGCTGTCGAGCAGAACAATAATACGAGCATTTGTCCGTATCTCCATGCGCCACGGAGAGGTCTCTCCGTGGCGCACAGAGACACCATCTCCGTGCGCCACGGATCTTCGTGTCTCCATGGAGACACGGCCGTGTCTCCGTGTTAAAAATCTCTAATCGTAACTCCATTTTAATAAAATCCACTTTTTTAAGAAACCCATAGAAGTTATAATTATTAATTTTACATCCAAATTTGCATTTTCACTGAATTATAGATATCATCCCACCAAACACAACTTTTGGGAAGATCATATGATTGATCAAAATCTCAAATTACACACATTCTTTACGTTGATCACTACTGCTATATATATCTAACCTTCTCATATTGAACTTCACACATTTTGTAGTAGCAATGGGAAGGGTAAATTCCATTTAGACTACTGCATTTGGATTTTCACTAAGATATGCTGCTCCTGCATTAGCCAAAAGTTTAGGTTCTTGGAATACATTATAAAAATATTTTTCATTATATCTACAATTTTTAGTTTAAATAAAAAAAATAAAAAGAGTTCAAGGTAGGTCCAAACTAATCACAGGTTTCTCTTTTCCAAACAATTAAATCAAGTTATGTAAAATCCCTTTCATTACTAATGGATTATTTTGGTTACAATTCTGCAAATTAATTTATATATTTCGTTATAGCGGCCCAATCAGTCATAACTTGTCCAAATCTCAATTGCTACATAGCCATCAGGAAAACACATCTCTGAAGATGAGTCCAAGCTGGCAAGCAAAACACGGTCAGGGCCTAGCCTCGGCTACAACTTGGCAAGCGAAACAGGGTCAGGGCAGCACAATCAGTCTTAAATTTATTGTGCGTACCGCCTGTGTGTGGGCTTCTTGCGTATGGGGCCAAAATCTCTTCCCCTGCAATCCGTGAGGTACTCCTACGACTAATGGTCACACAAATTTTGTTGGATAACCTCTTCTAAGAGCTTAACTTGTTAGAGAGACACTTATTTAACGTAGTCTTTGGCGCACCCCTAACATGCAAGTCCACTTCATTCTTTCATCAAAGACTGACTGGAATATTATATTTGGATTTTGCATGAGAGCCAGATATAGCAGCCCCAGGAGACGATATATTGGCAGCATATCCTCCAATTCCAAGCGCAAGAAATGGATACGCGTTCTCATCTGGAGCATCAATGGCTTCTCTTCGTGCATCAGGAATTGTTGCTTTACTAAGATTGGTCTCTGGCAGCTATAAGGTTGTCACTCGCTGCTACAGGTAGCATTACAATCCATCCAAGCTCTATATATATTTCATTAAAAGCCTAACGCACATACAATTTTTCATAATTGAGTGACAATTGAACATGTCAATTATGTTTTGCAGCCTGGAGAACCAATCCTTATTCGGGACAACCACTTTTGGCTCAGGAAGACATAACAAAGATTGCTGATCTTTTTGATTTTAGAGGCTGAGGCCATGTGTATGACTTAGGAAATGAAGATTAAACACATTATCCCTGTTCCATGGATTATGAGAAACTGCATTTAATCACCTTACACAAAGCTGAATCTTGTTCAAGAACGGCTTTTTTGTTCTGGTTTTTAATATTCCAAATATGAACAATCCAACTACTCTCAACAGAACTGTCACAGATGTTGGATCCATTAATTCTGAATATAAAGCTATAATTAGGCCACCTCCTGTATTCATTCCTAAGATTAAGAAGGTTTCCTTCACTATTACCATCTCTACAAGTCACCAGGTTACCACGGAGACAGTGTCTCCGTGTGTCCAAGGAGACACGAGTAGCACCCTACTGAGCCATCACAAATTTCCAGCTTTTTTCCAAAAGAAGATAATAATAAATAGAATAATAATGATGATGATGATGATGATGATGATGATGATGTACCAATCAAGTTCAAGAATTTCATACCTTGAAGTCATCAAAATTTAGCAACTGAGTAAAAGATGTGAGCTGATCGTCGAACTGTCATCCTGCATCATAAATTGATTAATGGATGAAGCAAGCAATCAAATGATAAATTTAATATTTGAATATTCAATTGGACGCTGAACTGCATTACGACTATTGTGATAGAAAAACACGAGGGGTGTCATATCCAGTTGCAAAAACTATCCATCTCCATAAATAACTTCCTCAGAGCATAATTGCAAGGAATGAAGCTGTTGCACTTTCCAGGAGATGACTCACAGGTCTTAATCCAAATCCCTGTCTACTATTTAGTCTCACTACAACGATAGAAGGATGAAGATAAAAGCAAATTACCTCCAACACCTTCTGCTTCTCTTAGAAATTCCTTAATGGTTAGGACTGGTACTATATCCTGAATTCGCTATTATGGATTGGCACAACATCTTAACAATTGGACCATTGTCCAAATTTGTACGGGGAGTATTGGAACTAACCTCAAACTATTTCTGTCGTTGAAGGTTACCATCCATGGTGTAATAACTATACCAGAGAAGCACCAAAGAAAATAGAAGCTGTCAAATCCTCAAGCCCGTATTCCATGCTTCATAACCATCTTTTCGTCATACTTTTTGTCACCCAACTGCGCTTTCATTAGCACCCAACTGCGCCATCACAACTTTCCAGCTTTTTCCCGAAACCAGGTTCAAGAATTCCATGCCTCAATCTCATTAACACTCAGTCTTGGGTTTATATAATTCATCGTCACTAAAAAGATTTAAGTTCATCTTGGAACTGTCATCCTGCGTCATAAAATGAATCATGGGTGAACAGAGCATTCAAATGAAAAACTTAATATTTGAACATTCAGATCACAGACTGACCTGCATTACTACTACCAATATTGTAGAAGTGGATGTGAGACTAAAAGTATAACAGCCAACAAGACCAGAAAAATATATAGCTAGAAATTGCAGATTGCTGACTTAGACGATTACCATCCATGGTGTAATAACTATACCACAGAAAGAGAAGCTTCAAATCCTCAAGCCTATATTCCATGATTTACAGCCATTTTTCTGGAAAAACATCAGAAAGGGGGTCAACGTGACATTGTCAGGGCTCATCCAAATCTTCACTTTGTGGATAAGAAATCCTAAACTATCAAACCAGCAAGTTTTTATAGTATTGCCTGAGGATGATTCTATGTTACTTCAATAGATAAATTTTTGCTTTCCCAAACTATTCTCAACAAGATGAGCTAAATACAGCTTTCACATCAGTGGAGAGCTAGAAAGTTTTAGAACCTCAAATCCACAGATTAAATATGGAACTGATTTGCTATTGAAATAGATTGGAAGATCTCAACGACAACAAACAGAATTGTAAAATCTAGGATTGGACCAAATTGAATTGCGAACACAGAATGGAACAATTTATCTATCTTTTTGTGTATTTTATTGTACTGAATTTGACAACGGAAATGAAATAAAATTACAAGGAAACCCAACTTTCGATAGGCTGGAACTCTCCAATTCAGAATGACAATAACATAACGCATACGTCCTTAAAATTATTGACGCCTACTTGTTTTATTAAATAAATTTCCCAAACGACCCCTCCCCCTACATTGACTTATTGAATGGAAATATTTACATGTTGTTGAGTCCTATCAAGTTATTCGGAATCAAGCTTAGAAAATCCGAATAATTTGGATTGCGGGACAGAATATCTCGAACTAAATACGTTGTGTATTCATCTGGGGAGATATTTCTCTCTCTCATTTTCACAAGAAGTTCAACCACTTTTGATGCCTCGTCAAGATTGCAAAATCCTTGCATGAGCGTGTTAAAATTGACCACAGAGGGTGCACAACCTTCCTTTTCCATCTTCATAAACCAATTATTTGCCATTTCCAAACTTAGAAAAGCCATCAATCATGATGTTATATGTAAAATCTGTTGGTTCCAAACCCTTATGAGACAACTTTCCAAATAGTTCACTCGCTAAATCAAGCTTTCGTGCTTTACATAATCCATCAAGGATACAATTATAGGTGTTAATGCGAAGATTAAGGCCAAATCTTTCCAGAGTATGAAATAGCTCCATTGCTTGTGCGAGGCAATTATTTTTGAAAAAACTATCCAATAATATATCATAAGTAGCAGAATCCGGAGTGACTTCATGGACTTTCATTTTTGCAAAAAGTTCCTGTGCATCCTCAACTTTACCTACTTGAAATAGACCAATCAACAAAGTGTTGAATGTAATAACATTTGGCTTGTATTCTTTGCATATCATTTCTTCGAAAAGCCTCATGGCCTCTTCCAATTTTTGGTACTTGCAATATCCATTAATTAACACGGTGTAGCTTACAACATCTGGCTTATAGCCTTTAACCTCCATCGAAACAAACAACTCCCTTGCATCATCAATCCTACTAAGCAGAGCCCGTTCATCAAAATATTAAATGTAACAAAACTTGGCTCTTCACCCCTTCGAATCATCAAGTTTAACAACGCACTAGCTTCATTAGTTTTCCCCTCCTTACAAAGTGCATCTATCAATATATTAAACAATATTACATCAAGACGAATGTCTTGATCGACCATTTCAATGAAGATCAGCTTTGCCTCCTCCCACTCATTGCCCTTGCAAAAACCACGAATTAAACCACTATATGTAACCAAGTCTGGCATAATTCCCCCATCCTTCATCTGCAAAAACAATTGTTTACCCTTGTTCAACAGCCCCTCTTTACAGAGGCCGTCAATAAGCGTGTTATAACAAATCAAATTAGGCCTAAAATCAGACATTCCCTTCCCGTTCTCCACTTCCTCGAGCATCCGTAGTGCCACTTCAGAATTTCCACTCCTACATAACCCCTTAAACAATGAATTGAAAGTAAAAATAGTTGGATTATACCCTCTCTTAAAAACCCCACTCATAACAGCAAGACCAATATCAACCCTATTCAAGCAACAGTAACAATTGAGCAAAACATTAATTGTACTAATATCCGGCAATACATCAACTTCAACCATCCGCTGGTACATAAAAATGACGTCTTGATAATTCTTGGTTTTGGCAACAGAGCCTAGCAATTTGTTAAATGACCATATGGGTGGCGATGGTTTCATTCTGAGCATATTATAAAAGCAGGTTAATGCATCATTGGTGTCGATTTTACAGTCTGTTTTGAATTTTTGATGAGGGGTTGGGGTTTCAAATTGAGTTGGGGATTTGGATTTTAGGTGTATAAATATAGGTGAGAGCTTACATCTCTGGGCAGTTCTGGAAACCATTTCTGCAGCGCCGGGCAGCACACAAACATAGATGCAAGCATAAATGCAGAAGACGCCAATGGATGCCTGAATGTGAGAATTCAAATTGAAATGCACTGTGCAATATCATATTTTTTGTCGAATAAAGCTATTTGAACAAAAAGAATTTGACAAAAATGTTGACAAACACTCACATGATTGCCGGCCCCACATGAATAAAAAATTGAAAATAAAAAGTGGACCCCCCCATAGGTGGTGTAAATTTTGTGAATAAAGTTATTTGTACAAAAAGAATTTGACAAAAATGTTGACAAACACTCAAATGATTGTCGGCCCCACATGAATAAAAAATTGAAAATAAAAAGTGCACCCACATGAGGGTTTGTCAATATTTTTGTACAAATTCTTTTGTAGAAGTAGCAAGTTTTTTTTGTCATCCATTCACCAGAAGGGAAAATTCCATATTTTGTCTCCAATCTTTTAAACACATCTGAGATATGCCCCCCAACCTTTTTTATTGGCATCATTCATCCCAACCTTTCAGAAAATAAGCAGAGTTCATCCCTATTCCGTCCAATTTCAGTTCAAGTAGAATGATAAGTTTGCCTGGACTCCAAAACAATCCCAAAAAAAAAAATGAGCCTCGCAAAAATGAAGAATAACAAAAGGACCCAATTTTTCATCATCTTCTTCTCTCACCTCACCCATCCCCAACCTCCAAAAGATACCAATTCCAGCAATTCCATCTCGTCCATTACGCCATGCCAACGCCACCTCCACCCACGTCCAACAATTAAAAAAGTAATTTCTTCCCACCCCTAATGCCGCCATTTCCACTGCTACCCACCAACACACACCCTCAAAAAATGAAAATATATCTTTTTGGTCTGGTTCTGATTTCGTCGATGAGAAGTCAAAGAACGCAAAGATGCACGCACAAATCCAGAAGACGACACGAAAGGATCAGAAGGTGAGGACTGAATTTCAAAAATTCGAAGTTTTTTCGATTGCCAATATTTTTTTTCTAATGTGTTTTTTCCATCTATTTTTTTTTTTTAATGCTGTTTTGGAGAAAAATATTTTTTTATATTTGGTCACGTAATCATGCTTTTCTTTAAAATAAGGAAAATAGTTCCTTTAAGAAGAGATATTTTTTATTTTCTATAATTTTTTCTCTCTATCTCTCTCTTATCTATTCATTAATAAAAAAATAATTGATAAATATAATATTTTTTAAGTTGAAAATTAAGTCAATAAAACATTCGTAATCAAACGCACCTTAATTGACATGTGTGCAAACAAACACGCACCAAGTCAAACAATTTTTATTTCTTGCACCATTCACCAAAAGGGCAAATTTAATATTTCGTTCCCAATCTTTCAAATACGTTTGAGATACGCTTGAACCTTTTCTATTGGCGCCATTCATCCCGACCTTCCAAAAAAATGCAGAGTTCGTCACTGTTCCATCAAGTTAATTGTTTAAACGCACACCAATTTTTGAGTAATGTCATGTTTCACTCACCATACTTCAACTTACACCCTATTACTCACTGAATTTTACAAAGTTACACTTCATTACTCACCGAAAATTAAATGATGAATTTATAACAATTGCCTACGTAGAAGATGAATATCACATTCGACAGTTAAATATTTCCAACTCATAAATTAAATGACAGCTTTTGGGCACATCTCGCGGTTTATCTGGTCTACGTCTTGAGGGGTTAAGGCGAAGACTCCAGGATTAGTCGTCAAAGGTGGACACCTCGGTATAAAAAAAAAAAAGATTGCAAGCTACCAAAACTGGAAGCCCAAATACTAAACCCCCAAATCGTGATATTCTTTTTTTGATACAGGCTCCCTTGATTTCAGTTGAGTTTGTGAGGCTTGTGCTCAAGAAATCATGTTGAAATTTTGCACGTGTGTGAAGTGTGCTCCCAAAATTTGACTTAAAGTTGCATTTTATAAATTCAGCTCTGTTGGTGGAAGCTTTGCACGACACCTGGCTTCGTCTTGGCTGTTGGCTTGCATTCTGGAGCCTTTCAAGGCTTTAAGTAGGAATGCCGTTTCACTTGGCATTCATTCTAACTTCTGGCTACTAGAGAGATACTCTCGTTTTGGCTAGGGTTTCATTATGTATAGTGTTCTCTCTTGAAAATCGAGACTAAGATCAATGTTTTACTACCTCTGATTCTTGTATTTTCTGAGTGGAAATCTGTAAGAACGATAGTGTTCTTACGCTGTGATGTTCAAAGTGATAGTTTGAGGGTTCTTTTGTGATTCCTGAGTAAATTCATCTACGGGTTTTGTTAGGAGTACATAATTTTTGTACGTAGAGGGATACACGTCTATCTACAAAAATTATGTACAACTAGAATTATCCATCTTCAATTTCCTTTGTGAGAAGATAAGTTCTTGATACTATATCTTGTTAAACTTCGTAAACTTTCGTTGCCATTTTTGGGCTATATAGTGCAATCGAGCATTATACATTTTCTATGGATGCTCATCACGGGATTGGTTGTTAGAAGCGAAACTCTGAGACTTCGGCCGAAACAATTATTTATGTTGATTTTCATTTCTTGCAAGTTTTAAGTTACTGTACAGAGTTTTGAGTTTGACGCTCGCTTATACTTCGTGTTTTCTGTGCTTTTCAAATCAAAAAGTGGATTCAGAGGATGAAAGGTGAAATTTTTCTTTCATTTCTTAAGAAAAAAATGGCGTTTAAATATTATGCTTGATTTTGCCACACAATCGGACCGCAAAGCTTGATTATCCATTTTAATGTTATGCTGCGAGCAGATGTTTTGTTAATTATGGAGTTAGGGCATCTAATCATACTGATCAATTTTCATTTCTGGCTGGATTTAAATATTGTCCCATATGAATTCTATCTAATATATTTGAGTTATTAATTCTTTCTTTATTTTTTCATGTTTATTTGGATTTTCATTTGCGAGTATGGTTAGGATAGAACGTTTAAGATTCTACCATTAAGAAGAAGATGATGATAATAATATGAAAGAGGATATTGAAAGTTCACCCGTCAAAACTCTTCTGAGTAACCAGGTTAGAGATTTCATGTGATATTATGGTTGACTGCAACTATGGCTTGTATTTCGACCATGCTAATTCTTGTCACTACAGGTACTAACAATGCAACGAGGCTCTTGGCGTGATCATGCGCGTGAAGGTTGAAGAAATTGACTGTACGTTTAGGAACTACTGAATGTGAGTTGAAGCCTAAAGAATGGAAGATTGATGGGGTTTCTATCTGCATGTGGCTTGCATGCCCATAACGCTTGAAGGAAATCGAGTGTACATTTATGAAGTATTGAAGGTAATATAAGATGGTGACTGATAGGGGCTTCTATCTGCACATGGCTAATTTTGTTGGTATGTATCTGTGACATGGAAGCAGGAGATTTATGTAATGATTTTTAACCTTAACGTTCACCAATTTAACTTGGTTTGTTCGTTTGTTTTCTTTTGATTTCCATAACCAGAATATATACTCATCAATGAAGATTTCCACCTAAAAGTTGCTGATTTTAGTACAGCTTGTGAGGAAGCATATTGTGATTTTCTGACTGATAATTCAGGCACCTACTGTTGGAGTGACCGAACAAAGTTGGTTCTATGCCTACTTGCTCATAACTGGACACCAAAGAAATCTCCAAAACAGGCTGCAGATACGTTAACTGGACACTAGAACATTTACAAAATATTGTTGAACTAAATAACGACAATCTGAAACTGTTGGATGGCAGGAAAATTTTTCTTTTGATGCAGAAAAATATTTTTTCTTCGTGTGTGCAATGGAGGAAAACGGCTCAATAAATAAACTGTAATGAAGAATTAACAGTCGAGTTATGTAATTAACCACCATTAATTCGGACGTAAATCTCTCCATTAACACATGTATAATCATATGAGTTTCAATGTAATTAACCACAAATAGACTGTAATGAAGAATTAACAGTCAGGAGTTATGTAATTAACCACCATTAATCCGGATGTAAATCTCTCCATTAACACATGTATAATCACATGAGTTTCGGGAGTTAAAAGAATTTAAAAATGAAGGCAAAACGAGGCCATTTTTTTGTCAATTCGATCCGACATTCGTGTAAGCATGTCGCGCATGCACACAAGTTCAAACTTCGAAGCTTATTTCAATCCATGATTTGCACCCCCTGCACGCGTACGTGGAGAGAGAGCCTCTATGTTATATATGATTACGTCCTTCTAAAGTGTAATCATGTTTAAGGTAGTCATGCATCTATCTATTTTCCTATGTGGGATTTAAACTAGTTTCTCTTCAACACAAAACATATTCTAATGCATTACTTTGAGCTCCAATTTTTCATTCATCCGAACATCATTTTTGACAAGTAAATATATGATTTCGATGTTCCTATGGAGGAGAACACAAATCAATCTTGATCTTCCAAAATAACCTAATGGCTCCCGCTCAAATTTTATACCAAAGTCAGCCATTATATTTATTTTTCCCCCAAGCGTGGGCGGAGGTACCCCCAGCCCATATAAATTGCTTAAAAAGAAATTGTAAATTTTGGCCCAAATATTAGCATTAGCCTAATTCTAATTTGAATCTCAACTCAAGTCCAATGCTCAATTATTCAAATTGTATTAAAGATGCTACAATTATTAATTACTTTTTTCATGACATTCATGCAACGTGAATATTTTATTGTCAAACTAGTTGTTCTATTTAATGCACGTTTGACTAAATTTACTTATAATTATTAATTAAATTTTATTATAGATAATTTGTATTGATTAGGTTTAGAAGTAAATTACTTATTTTAGTAGTTAGAGACACTACATATTTTGCTAAATTTAAAAGTAATTTTTTTTTTTTATTTCTATGTATGTTTTCATATATTACTTATTCACAATTATAAAAAAAAAATACTTATTTTGACCATAAAAAATATATTATGATCAAAATAAATAATTTACTCTAGATTCGACATTGACAATAAAAAAGAATATTTGTTAAAAATTATTTATTTATAAAGTAATCTATATACTTATATTCTTGAAATCGAGCCATTGACCCTCGAAATTCCTTGTTGATTTTTCTCACTTTAGTTGAGATTCTTCACTCACTTTGAAATGTGGTGATATAAAAGATCGATAAACACACCGAATAATATTTTGAGACAATAATATATGGATTATAGTGATATATTATCAATTGCGTGTTTCGATCAAATTTTCAGTTATTTGAAAAGATTGATCGTCGAAGTTACTAAAAAAGTACACATTAAGTAATCTTTTAAATTTTCATTGATGGGTATGTATCGTTGCTTATTTCTATCATGATTCGGTCAATTTATATTTTTTAAGGCAAGTATCGATTTTCTATTTGGTAAAAAAATACAAAGATTTAGTGATATATCTTAATGCGAGACATCTAAATTTTTTTATTTCATTGAGTTTCGTATATTTTCTTTTATCGTGAATGTCAGAGAATAGCCTCTGAAACTCGATTTCTTGTGGCGTGGGTTCATTAGAAATTTTTTCAGTTTCAACCTATCCTAACATCATTTTCTGGCTCCGCCCTTGCCCTTAGGACCATCGTTTGGCACACAAGTGACTGAGCTAATCGATCTTGAAGAAATGGAGAATGACTTAGCACCAACAACTGCCAATGAGGCTTCCAGTTCAAGAGCCGCAAGGACAGATGCTAGGAGACTTGTTGGGACATCAGCACATTGAAGCATTCTGTGAAATTTTTGAAGGCAGCACAAACCTTAAAGCGTAGTGTAGATGGTGATTTTTAGGCTGTTTTTGGTTTTTTATGTTGACACTGGATTTGCTGGTGTCCAGATAATTATATGAAACGGTGATGAATTTGTGGGGGATTCCTCTCCCTTGTGGTTGATGAATTTGTGATATCTGAATTTGTGCTGTCCAGATAACCATATGAAATTCTGTCTGAATTTGTGTAGCACACATTGCTGCGTGAATGTACAGAAGATGCCATGTGAAGTTTGCGCATATTCTGGTTTTTTGTGTGATTTGTTTTTATTGTGCATACATTATTATATAAAACATATATATAGGGAAATTACCCAAGATGACATTCTGCAGTAAAATCGAAATGGAGTTCGCTATTCCAGTAGATGATAGGTTGAAGCTACAATCAGCAATCGTTCGAAAAATTAAAATGGTATATGAAGTTTTTGACCGGTTAAATCTAGCTCATAAAAACTGTTCCAAAAGACTTCTTTTGGACCATTACTGAAACTGAGAGATAAAACTCTCATCTCAATTGGTGCACCAGTTAAATCTGAGGTCGATCAAGACCTCCAAAAAAAAAAAAAAAAAGAAGCAGCAGCAGCAGCAGCATGGTTTAAGTTTGATGATAAACCTGCAAGATTTGGCTATTAGTGACATGTTTTCATGCTGGTAATTTTGAAGAGAATAAGACAGTATGGGAAAAGTGTCGTCTTGTAAAGGATCATTTCAAGAGAAGTAGAGGAAAGATAAGAAGGAAAGAATTGCTTAAATGCTTTTATGCTTGGAAAAATGAGGGCGACAAGTACAATTTGGGCATTCTTGTTATTTTGGCGTATTTCCTCTTGGCTACAGAGGAGGAGAATACATTACTTGAATTGTAGTGGTTGATGATGTTGATAGGTTCGACAAATATCCATGGGGAAAAGTCATTTTAAGTACACAATTAAGGTATTCAAACGTGACTTGGGTTAAAGATTGAAGAATTCTATGACACATAATTGGCGATGTTAATATATGTTTGAGAAAATTTGTCGCCGAAGTAGATAACACGCATCCAATGATAATTCAAGAGAAACTTCAATATAAATAATAATAATCAAAAGAAAATAGAAGACTAAGAAGAAAAGAAGAAGGCTTGAATCGCAGAAAATGTTGTTCTAAAAGCTATATTTGAGCAATCTCAGTAATGAGAATGCTAAAGGACCAACACACAAATAGCTTTAACGAATTTCAAGTCAAGAAATCGGGTTGCAATTAGCACTTTTGAAACCTGGAAAGAAGGAACAAGAAAAGAATTTGAAATAATTCTAAGTATAATTTTGAATTTTTGAGAGAGTTTTGGGATGATTATTTCAAAGTACATAAATAAGAATTAGTATTTTAATCCATGAATTCTATTCCTATTTATAGAATTCCTTCATATACTTTCGTATGGGTGCCAACTTTTCACAAAAAGATAGTAAAAAAGAATAAAAAGGTACCAAATTTTTTTAAGAAAAAAATGCCCCAACTTTTTTTTCAATTTTTTAATCTCTTTTCAAACATAGTTGATCAATTTCTCATTTACCAATATTTGAACAACACAACTATATTTCAGTATACCTTACACGAATTTTTCATTCCTTCCTATAATGGTAATAATAAATAATACACGAATTTTTAAATGTAATTTTCCTTCAACATTGCATGCAACCTTCTTACCCAATAAATTTCCCCTAAAATAATGCATATGATCAAANCAATACTTAACCATCATCTTCACACCCCTCTCCCCCCCCCTCTCTCTCTCTCTCTCTCTCTCACACACACACACAATGAACTCATACCACAAAATGTGTTCTTTGCCATGAGATTTAATTTAAAAGGTTAAACTCATGACATTCAAAACAAAGTTTCATATACGCGAACAAATATAAATCTAGATTTCAACCATAAGATAACATTATATCTTCGTTGTTTTCCTTGTTAGGAACTCAATGTCATTTTTTGAAAATATAAAGTGGCCGAAGTATGATAAATATGAGCAAATATGGTATATACCCATCAACCAAAAATTAAGAAATTATCTATAGAAATTCAATAACCAATCATTCTAAACTGTTGAAAATTTTGACCAGAATTACAATAAAAATATATAATTATAAGTCACCGGTCTCAAAATACTATTCGAACTAAGCATTAGTTTTTTGAATTATTCTTCTTGTACATCAAGTGCTACATAAGGGTGTCCATAATGGACACCCGGTGCCCTCCCATTGAATGGAGTGCCGATCCCACCAACCATCCCTCCAATGAGGAGGCGCCGGGTGTCCATTATGGACACCCTTATGTAGTCTCTGATGTACCTGTAGCATCACTCTAGTTACTTTTTCCTATGTGTTATTTTTAATCCTATAAGCAAGTTAGAAAATGATCAAAGTGAGGGAGGTATTGATTTTGAAAGGACCTAATAAAAATTTCATGTGAATATTTTTAACTGTTGATTCAATTATGCCTATGCTCAATTTGATTAAAAATGATTGGTTTTCAAATTTATCCTAAAAATTCTAAATCTACTAAAATGATAAAAAGATGCACAAGTGATAAGTTAAAATTTTTGTATGATAGTTAGAAGTGTTAGAATTCATGAATTCATTATAATTATCCACTTAATCTCAATCACCAAAGTTTGATAATAATTAATTATGTATACCCAAATAAATTCTTCTAAATTGATTAATTTACGTCTCTCGAGTTCAAATAAATCCTATTCTACCTACGTAAATCAAGGTAAGCCTTAATCAAGAACATTTGATCACAAAAAAAAAAAAAAAAATTCAATTAATGACCCCGACAAATATCTCATCCATCGACTTGTTATCGTTCATAAATCAATGAATTAGAACTCAAAAGGTTAACGAACAAATCAATCCATTTTTATAAGTAAACATAAAAAGGGTTAAAACAAAGACGTGTTTTTTACTCTCGAACTACAGATGCCATGGACAGAGACAAGATTGAACCAAAACACATAATAGAAGGAAATAGAAATATACAAGATTTTATAGCACCAACAAAACTCACATTCCATACGAAAATCCAGTTCTTTCCCTAATAAATAGATTACAAGTCCATAACAACAGACCCTTCAGTTTCTGAGATACGAGGGTACCTAATTCAACATTACCGAGTTAACAGAAAAACTAGATTCATCGACCATACTCACCTCAAACTCAATCATCGGCATCTTTTAAGTAGAGAGACTCGCCCCCATCACCTGAGCTTCCACCGCGCCCTTCTCCAGGCCCACTGCTGCCGACTTCTTGCTTACCTGCACCTGCCATTGCCCTTCCATGCAGCCCCTCTCCAGTGGTGCTGCGGCCAAAGTCAGGAAATCCTACACCTCCAACTCCACCACTACCTCCAGCACCATGAGGCTCCCCTTGCAGCATAAGTCCACTGCTTCCTCCTGCGTTCATTCCAAGCTGGCTGTGTAAAGCTTGTTGTTGAAGTGCTGAGTATTGCTGTTGACTGTATAGCATAGAGGAGCGAGCAGCCATAAGTGATTGAGGTGTCATTTGTTGAGTTTGTTGATGCTGCATGTAGTGTGCACCAGGCTGCAAAATCCCACCTCCCGCATACTGCAAGACAGCACCAGACAGTGAACGATACTTTAGATACAAGTCTAAGGTTTGTTTGACAGAGTTTTTGATAAAAGTATTACTATAATATCATGTTTTTCATAACAATTGATAAAATGTGCAGGTTCAAAAGTTGATAAAAGTTGTGGGTCCATTAAATGTGTGATTAAAATTGAAGTTTAACAAGTTAAAAAGATAATAAATTTTAGCAAAGTTTTTCAAACAAGAACTAATCGTTTCCACCTTCATGAATCGATCATTCACCATGATAAAATATCCTAATAACAACACTTGCACTTGCTGGAATTAGTTATTATGAAAATTGTTAAATCAACTCATCTAAAAGGTTAAACTCTCATACGGGGATCAAACTTATTTATCTAAAAATCATGTCTCCAGCACTCCCCCCAATCTCATGTGCAGGCATGATTCATTTTTCATAGAAGGCCTAACACGTGAACAATTTTCCTGAGGGGCAGCAACAAGCCTCGTGTTTTTACTTTGGTACCCCCTCATTTAAAAGTTTAAACCATTCGAGAGGGATCTAACTCATTTAAAGCCATGTCTTAAAGAAAATGAAACAATGATATTGGGTCGTTTACCGAATGTGAAATCAAAGGTCGAAATTCAAACATATGATTCATTCTTCTCTACGAATTCCTTTTGATGTAAAAATATTGCACCCAACTACCTGGGAATGCATGCTAGGTGGTTGAGGTTGCGAATCAGCAATAGCAGCTAGATACATCAAGTTCCTTTGTAACCTGGCCTGGTTTCTGCCATGATAAAGTCATTGTGATCTATATATATCAGAGCAAAAGGGAAAAGAGGAAATGCGTCTAAACAAAGTTAGTCTCACCAATCAGCACTATACGTTTATTTACGGCCACTAAGAACGTGTATATTAAATACTAAATGAAAATTATCAACAATAACCAAACTTCGCCTTTATGGAACATGAAAAATCCAAATACTTGGAAGATCTTTCATGAAGAAAGAGGAAAAAGAAAATGTAGTTTTTCCTTTCTGGAAGGCCGATCTTCCCTTCAAGCAAAACTACACGTAAACCAACTGTTACATCATTTGTGAGGTTTCTCAGAAGAGAGAACAAAAATGTTAATAACGAAATCAAGATTTCAGTTGAACGTGTTTCAGAATAAAAAATTTGTTGCAATCAAGAAAAAGCAAAGATGGAAAACAAATTATCATACAAAGAAGCTTATTATTTATTTAACTTGAAAAGCTTATACCTTCAACGTGACCTAATATTTTTAGTTCCAAGCGAACAACAATCTACTAATGTATCAGCCTCTTGTAAGGTCTAGGATCCTAGAGCGTGCAAGACAATGCACAATATCTAAAAAAAACTCCCTCCTTCCACTCTCTTCAATTTAAGAAATTGAATCTAGTGAACTACAAGAAAAGCCTGTAAAAACATATCCAATATTTTGGGATCAGGGAAGAGAAGGAAGCAAAGAAAGTTATAGTAGTTACTCTGCACATTCACTCATTTTCCCCGAGTTTTGGCTCTCGACAATCTTCAGAATCAGCGACTTGTTTTCATCCAGATACTGCAGATAATATAAAATCAACAACAAAACCAAGAAAACCAGTCATGTTTTGGCATCCGCAACCTATAACCGGCGGACAGTTGATCTGTAGCTAAAGGCACGAATACGTTGAAGGCATTCGTTATTATAATAATTCATGTACACAAAATTGATACACGAGAAAAACAACTGAGTGAACATTCTGGCAACAAATAGTTGATAGACTCAACATTTGCAACAAGGAATTACCATAATTCATAACTCAACAGCACATCCTACACTCCGATTATATAGAAATCTACGATAGAAAGGCTTCATAAAACCCTATTTAGTTTAATCACTGTAAATGAGTGCCTAATTAAAAAATATATTACAAATTTGAAGTTGGAAGGCTTAAATTGTAGCCAATATTCAGTAGGACAATCAGGAAAAAAAAATACATACTTATGGTGGTTATGTTATACATGCAAGATTAGCATAAAGCCTTTATTTTTTGCAAATTTGCATTTAAAATTATACACTCAACTTTAGTCATTGAGTCCTACAAATTCCAAATTATTAGTATGGACAAGGATCAAAATCTCAGTATGATGGAGCATTACAAAAGATACACTACACAGATAATTCACTTTTTAAAGGAAAATACCATTAATTCTTGATTGAAAATGAAGGCTTTCCAGGTTATACTGCAGGCAATGTTTAGTGCACAAACTTTAAAAAGTTGCACCCAGTTTTATTATTATAGTTCTATTAAAGAATCTAGTGCACAAGGTCATGAGAGCTGTATGTATAAATGAACAAGAAATGGTTAGTAGTATGGAAATACAGTGATGGGGTTAATCACTCACCCAGACTTAAAATGGACGGACCTAATATTCCTGATATATAAAGAACTTTTAGGGACCCTTATGTGTGTGATGGGCTTTAGACCTATTAAAAAATAACAAGTACAACTTCAAAGTGGACATAGCGCTCGCATTTACAGGTGCACTTGGCTTATTTTCTGATCAAGCAGCAGCAAAGAGGGGACAGTTCTGAATCATTATCATTATATAAAAGTGCCTGTGCTTCCATTGTAGGAATTGCCAACAGAAGCAAAAACATAACCCCACCAAATACCAAATTATCCAGCAGAAACAAATAGGCAGCCAATTAAGTAGAAACTGAGCAACAAGGTGACAGTGGGAGGAAAGCAGGTAAAATGGCAGAGGGGCCAAGTGAAAAAGATATAGCAGATGAAGAAAAGTTTGAACAGAAATCCACATAGAAGAAGAAGAGAAGAGAAAAGAAAGACCTGTTGAATGTGATCAGTAGTGACGTTGCTGGGATAGTAGGCTGCCATCATGGGCTGCATCTGCATCAGGTGCTGCTGCATGCCTCTCTCCTTTATACTCCCAACTCACACACACAAACACACACACTCTCTCTCTCTCTCTATAAATATCAGCTGCCTATCTGTCTGTATGTATCTATCTATCTCTATCAGTCTCCCTGCAACTTTGACTGTGATCTTCCTTCTCCGTTTTGGGTACTAGGGTTTATCCGTTTAACACGAAGAGTTTAACAGTGACAATCTTAAACAACAAATATCATAGACTGTACCATCGGTAGTGGGAAATGGGTGAAAAAATTGTACCACTTCGTAATAAATATAGAAACAAAACAACCAAAAACCACCCTAGTAGTGAATGAGAGAGAGAGAGAGACGAGTAAAAGAATCTGCAGGCGCAGAGAGGAGCAGCAGCATTATTAAGCAAGTGAATAGGGGTGTGTTTCGGGGTTCGGTCTGCCGCTATGGCTTTTCTATAAAAAAGTAGGTCACGTGATGGATCATGACAGATAGATACAGTGAGAGAAACGGACAAAACCAAGAAATATATTTATAAATCCAATCAGTCATACATTAGCCCTGTTTGGCTTTGATTTAAATTTCAGGTCGAAATCAACAATTAATTTTAACCACACATTTTACGGAATTCACAATTTTTCAATAACATATTTCATCAATTTTTATCAAAATCCAAATAGGAACTTAATTTCTTTCAATCAAAATTGAAAAATTAGTCGTTATTGTTAACTTTTATTAGACTAGTGAGATCCAATAATGACTATATTTTCAATTTTTATTAAATTTTAAGTGCGATCGAATACGTCCAATTTTTAGCAAAAACTAACATGTAAAACTGAAACAAAATACAATGTTTTTATCCGATCTTTTTCCTTCACGTACGGGTAGCGAAACTTTTTCACATTTCGTTAAGAAGTGAATATCAAAAATTACTGGGAAACACAGTAAATTCCAGACAATAAGGGGAAAAGTGAATGGACACAACAAACCATGCAAAAAAACAGTGGCCGTTGGATTTTGGGCCGCCACCTCGGTCCAAGCAACAATCACCGTACTTAGCTCACACGTCATTTGGTTTTTAGCTCTTCGAGGAATTCTCATGGATTCACGCGCCGTCTATCGCGTGTGCCACCTAAACATTTTTCTTTGATGAAGTTTGAAAAGATGATATTGACACGCGCTGTGTTTTGACCTGGGATCTTCTATTTCGGACTTCAACGCGCTGCAGAAAGGCATTTGTTCCATAGAATAGCGTGCATGCCTATTTATTTTTAAAATTAAATTAATTTTTAAAGTAAGCTAAACTACAAAGACCTCTTATGAAGTTTATAAAAAATATTTTTAAATTTAGGAAAGTAAATTTTTATTACACCCAACATGCACTCTTTTAACCCGTGTTCTAAAAGACGCGTCGACAAATGCATAACAGAAACGTCAACCCGACTGTCTTGACGCCTTATTTAGTGGTCAACGGCAATCGTTGATCGTTAATGCATACCTAGAAGCGATTATGCGCACTTACGATCTTTTTTAAAAAAAAAAATCATTTTTAAGTTAAAATTTAAAGGTTGGTTTACATTTGAAACTTTTCTTTTTTGTTGGAAACTTTTGAAAAAATGTATATAGTTTCTATAAATTTGTTTTAAATATTTGATATGCATTATTTTTAACTATTAAATGATTTTTTGATTGATTAAAAATTAAAATAATATTTAAATAAGAAAACGCATTTTTACTCATGTGCATCGTCTAAACTCGCCTACCCCATTGCTTGGTCTTCACGATCGCCACGCATTACGCCACAATGCTCTCCTATAATTAATCAATTAATTTGTTTGTTATGTAGCCTTTTAACTTTTATTTTATTTCTTTGATTATTTTAGGGTGTGTTTGAGCCACATTATTTTGGATGAATGTATTTTGAAATGGTAGATTGATGGAGAATATGCGGTTAAAAAAGAAGGAAAAGTTATTGATGTAATAGAAAATATTATTTTATTGAAAAATGTGTGGTTGAAAATGAGTAGAAGAATGAGAATGAAAAAAATAAACAGGCCTAATAATTAAACCAAATAACACATAATACATTGAAGATGCGAAGTGATAGAGAATGTGTAAATAAAAAAGAATGAAAAGTTATTGATATGATAGAAAATATTATTTTATTGAAAAATATGTTGTTGAAAATGAGTAGAAAAATGAAAATGAAAATTTTAATGTAACTCAAACATGGGCTTAGTCATTCTCAATTTTGATTGTCATAATATAATTATTATTTTTTATCAAAAAAATTTAGAATAGTAAATTTAATTTAGAAATTTGAAAGTTTAAATTATTATTTTATTTACTTTCAGTATTTTTATTTAATATAAATTATTATTTTTATTTAATATAAATATTATATATTTTCAAATATTTATAGGACTTCATATTTGAAATTGGTCTAATGCCCTAAAAATCTCAAAATCGATTATCTTCGATGAACTAGTCATGCAAATTATTCTTGTCGAGTCGCATATTTTAAGATTCATTATTTATCAAACTTGTTTTCAAACGCACCTCTCAGTAAAATAATTGTGCACATAAACGTAAAAAAAAATCTTCTTTTTTTCTAGGTTTTAATCAAATTGAAAAAAGAAAAAAAAATTCTTCTTTATAACAAACAAACATACTATCAAGTCCCCACATGTCTACATATATTCATACACGTACACTAATGTAATAGTGCATACTATTAACCAGCAGATGACCTTTGTCCCTTGCTAGTGTGCATTGATTTTAACTCTCCTCTTCACAGTGCTGTATGCCCTAGTCTCTCTCTCTCTTTCTCTCTCTCACATATATATACATATAGATACACATAGTCACAGCTTTATCTATGTACGACCCTAAAGGAATCCTGCAGAGCAGTACTTGAACTTATCAGAAAAATTGGTGCATCAGCATAATTGTATCCAAATCGTGTTAGTCAAACTTGAAGAACATGATATTGCATGCGGGTTAGGTGGTATCATGGGATAGGGGTGGTAGCTTAGGGTAGGCCAGGGTACTTACATTTCTTTTTCTGATAGGAACCCTTTGTTCGGATTCCTCTCTGCATATACTTACAAGAGGAAGAGCAAAAATGAATGAATGGTCAATGATCAATATTCGAATCAAATCATGAAAATTGGATCTTAACGTTTAGCCCCTTGCCCCCATTATTTTGCATTGGATTGAAAATTTTTAGAATAATGATTGATGGAAGAATGTGTGATTGAAATTTTTTTAATTTGTGAGTAATATTATTTTATTTGATGAATGCGTGGTTAAAACGAATAGAAAAAAAAATTTAATGTAACGTAATGTAATTTAATGGGGACCAAACAAAGGCTTAGGTCATTTTCCTTATTCTATTTTGATACTTCAACGGTTATTTTATTTTTTTCCTGAGATGTTATGATGATTGATTGTGTTAATAATGCAATTTTAGTTGGCCACAATCAATGTTGTTGCCTTCTAAGTCCCTCTGATAAAATTGGAAATTATTGCCCTAATCTAGATGAGTAATGTAATTCATAGTGAAGGCTACCGGTAGTCGTCCTACGTGGTATACACATGACAATTTGTTATTTGATACATTAATATAATAATTTTTTATTGCCTCGTATATCAAATAACAAATTGCTATGTGTATGCAATGTAGGACGACTATTGATAGTTTTCACTATAATAGCATTATTCAATCGAGAATGTTGTTCTTCAAAACTTGCAAAACATCAAGCGTCACTTCCACAGGCCAACATTGGAACAATACTGAACAGTATTAGAATAATGAAATAAGCTCGCCTACTATAAAGTCGTGCTAGAAAATAAATGCGACACACGAATCTAATTTTTGTTGCTGTGTTAAGTGAGATTTGTTGGGAGGAACATGTGATGACATTAGGATTTGGGGATCAATGAGAACGAGAAATTGTGACAGCTAAGATGAGATATTAAAATGACAAAATTCACATGTTCATAAAAGCATTAGGTTGCGCTGTTTCTACCCGTGAGGTGATGTATCAAATAAGTTTCTATTTTCGTGCATGAAAACGACGTCATTTTTGCCATGCCAATGATATGGACTACTGCTTGGCTTTCACCGGGTCAACAAAACCTGCCATTGCCCATGTGACTAGCCACAAAGTGGGGAGGACACTGCTGTCTACAAAGGGTCGGGACGACCCAGCCCCTATTTTGGTCCAGTCCAGGTCCAGCACAATTCGTCTGAAGAGGCAAGTCACATCGAGCCCCTCATTTGCCCGGTGCATTTTTTGTTTCTCAACATAATAACGACAACAAATGATAACAAAAAATTTAATTCGGTTTCTTTTCCTTCTTCTATTCTCACTTTCAAGCAGCGGAAATGGGCATTGGCAATTTAACGAACAATGTTAGTGACATCTAAATGTACACATTCGTGGCATGAGCATGGTCAATCACACTATCTAGGTAAAAAGTTGATAGTTGAAACTAATTTTCTCATCACTAGCAAAGTAATTATAAGAGTTCTCTTTGCAAATAATGAAAATCACCTCCTTGGGAGGAGAGCAAAACAATGTAAGTTCTGAAAACAAGTGCATCATCCACATAAAATTATTTTGATGAGTGTAAACCTCATGCAATTGACTCGTGACTGACAACATAGAACACACAAGAACCATATTCCAAAAACATTTCACGGCTACAAGAGAAAACAACCGTGTGTGCTAAATAAGTGAAGCTACAAGCAAAGAAAATAAAAACCTGCATTAGGAGCCTTATCTCTAAGGAGCATCAAATATGATCCCACGAAACCATTTTGTGCCGGTTGAAGATGCAATTCTACTTCAAGAGATGAACCATAACATCATGATATTTTTTTTTTCCAGTTATCTTTCGCAGTTCTTGAAATGGATTTTCATGGTGAGTGGGAGGAAAGATGACATTTCAACTAAAAGTGTGGAAACCATCACGAATTCAAGTATTCTTCCCAGCCACCCTTTTCCAACCTATCATCCTTCACCAAGACTTCGTCTCGTCTATCTTCTTGGTATTGAGCCATCCTATATGAATGGAAACAAGCTACTTTATTAATTTCTACAGAAGCGCAGACACTTTTTTTTTTTTTCACATTTTTGGGGCTCCCAATAAAAGAAATTGTTGTGGGTTTTCATTGAGGAAGAGAGACAAACCTTGCTTGCAAGTCGATGTCGCTAATTCCTAACAATCTTACAGCCAACAGACCTGCATTTGTGGCATTATTTATTGCCACTGTTGCAACTGGGACCCCCCTGGGCATCTACATAAACATGGAAATCCATTATTTTCACTTTAACAAATATCACGTTCCTCCAACATGGAACACATTGTGACACAACATCAAACAAAAACAATCTAAGCCTTGTTCCCAATAAACTTGGAAGTAACTACCTACATCCTATTTCATTGTTCCATTTGATTCAGAAATTTACCTTTCTTTAAATGTCCAAAGAAATCAAATCATTTGCCATTATCTCTGTCATATGTTAATTTTGATACAACGGGATTATCCGATATTGGATATCTAATGTTTTTACGAAAGTACCTGAACAATTGACAAGAGGGAGTCAAGTCCATCCAATGTAGAAGCCCGTACAGGAACACCAATCACGGGCAAGGGTGTCAATGCAGCCACCATGCCTAATAAATCAAACAAGGTTACATCAGTGTGTTCAAAGAAATATGATTGAAAATGTATATTATGCTCTAATATTAATATTAAACACCTGGCAAGTGAGCGGCACCACCAGCACCGGCAATGATAACCTGTATACCACGCTCCCGAGCAGACAAGGCATAAGAAAACATCATTTCAGGAGTCCGGTGTGCTGAAACTATTCTTACCTACATAACAAAGTTAACTAAAGTTTAATATGCCTTGTGCCACAAACAAATATCTACATGATGCCAAAAATATAATAAAACAATGTGCAGTAACCTCTGCAGGAATATCAAACTCCCTTAAAATCTTTGCAGCTTCCTTCATAACAGGAAGATCTGAATCCGAGCCCATGATGATTCCAACACGTGGTGCAGCTGTAGATGGAAGCATTATGGTGTATAACAAAAATGTCAGACAGAGAGAAGCAGGCATAACATCAGACGAAGATATTCAGATAGGATGTTAGGGATGCTAACAGAATTGGTCAACGGACCAAATATTTTCCAAATAAACAATGACGCTCTAGAGATAATAATTTTAAAAAAAAACATTGATCCCACAAGTAAAATTCTTCCAATTCTTTAAATCCCTATCGCATATTCAAACAGGGATTTTCACTATGTGTTGTCACCCGCATAAAACACAGTATAAAGCCATCAAACACAGACCTGCAGGCTGCCCATCCAATATTTCTTCTGTCAGCATGAATTTTAGCCGAGATTCAACAATGCCCATAGAGGGGCCTACAATTGTGATGTGACCCATCTTTCTTTGCTTTCTCATTTCTGCAGAGATACAAGGATTTAAAAATTTCTGTAACATGAAGACAGGAAAATAAAACATATGTGCAAGAGTTGGTTTCAGCATCAACCGACCAGGTTTGTCGTACCAATGAACCGATGCCCCTTTAATTCTCAATGCCCTTCCAATAAGTTGATTGGCCAAAAGGAAACCCGGTTCGCCCTATATCCACAAGTGAGGAGTAAAATATTAAGAAAGCCATAAAAGTCAAATTATGGTTTTTCAAAGCTATTGCTGGCATTCAGCGTGAGTCCACTGCTTTCTCATTCTCGACCAAGAATAGCAAACCTCACCATCAGTTAACCAATTACTGATATTATAGCTTCACAATCAACGCTTCGATCATTGAAAATTCTCTTTTGATCTAAATTATGTGAGGTATAAAGCTTATTTTGTGTCGTCTTAAAGGACAAGCTAACTCTACCCATATATATAGGGAGCAAAATTAGGCATCAAAACCATCAGAAGTACTACCTCGGCAAAAAAATCTAAACTCACAAATAATCAAAATGTCAACTAATACTTTCTCAATAAATGTAACAATTATTAGTTTACCTCATCTTCACCAAGTATATTATACATGATAGCAGCTGGAGTTTTCATTGACGGATCACCAAGTGGAAGACCAACAACAGCCCGCAAATGCTGCTCGAATTGTGAAGTAAAACAAGCCTCGATCGTGTGATGTCCACTATTATGTGGCCTAGGTGCCACTTCATTTAGGAAGACCTGAGGAAAGCAAATAAGATACAACAGGTCATTATAAACAATGAAAGTCGTCAAAGCGTAAATTTACATGTCATCAAAACAAAGGATCGTGCACATCAAACTTCCTTACACAACCTGACCATCAGCTGTCAAAAACAACTCCACTGCGAATACACCAGCACCTTCTAATGAACTCACAGCCTTGTATGCAACATCAGTAGCAAGTTTTAAAATCTTCCACGACACATTAGCAGGTGACTTGACAATGTGGCAAATGTTTTCCCTGCATATACACAAGATCGTTAGAAACATTTAAAGTCAATATAAGTTCCAAAATGAATGGAAGAATTACCCTTTTACGTATGAGTTCATGAAATTCTCATAAAGTTCGATATGAAATAAAATAAAATAAAAAGGGAAAAAAGAAAATTGTATTGGAAACAAAGTTATCTTGCCTGTGAATAGTTTCAACGACAGGATAGCACAGAATAGAATTATCTCTTCCTCTTGCCACGATGACAGAGAGCTCCTGCATTAAATAAAAAGGATGGTTATTTAAATAATTTGCCACTCAAAGTCCAGACCTATTATGACTTATCATGATGACATATAGCCCCTGTTTGAGCCACATTCTCATTATTTTACTCATTTTCAACCACACATTCTTCAATAAAATAATATTTTTCATCACACCAATAACTTTTCCTTCTTTTTCAACCACATATTCACCATCACATCACAAAAAAAATGCATTCTTTCCATTTTAATGTGCATCAAACACACTCATATACGTGAATGTCTTTCCAGAGAAATCCAAGTTTGATTATTTGATAAAACAAAAAATGTGTCATCACACAATTTAAAAGCAATCCTTTTTGTGATTTTTGAAATTATTGCATCAATTCATCACAGTGGATTACTCAAAAACAAGTTCATGGTTAATAACTCCAGGAGTTTATCAGTATAAGGGGCGGCAGTTCATCAAGCACTTGTGAAAAATCTAACATAACTAGGAATTTGAAATTTTCATCTATTAGCTAACATCCTTCTTAATCAAGATGACCTCGAATGTTTTAAAAACCGCACGGAAGTTTGATTCCGCATGCTAAAAAATGGCCAGCATTATTACATTTTATCCTTTCGTAATGAAATGATTCTCTCTTATAACAAAGTGAATGAACTGTCATCCAAAAAACATTCCATCACAATATCAGGAAAACATGGCACTTAAATTCATTACTTCCTCGCCTTCTTTCCAGTTGGACATCTATTGCAGACCCTCACTCATAAAATCAGGAAAAAAGTAAGTGGAAACAATATACTTATTTATATGTTAATTGCTGCCACAATCTTTGTAATTTGTAAATTTTAGTCCATATGAAGGACCATGCTTGTCAAGATATCGGATCGATGAAGGAGCTTTGCGGATTGGATCATTGGATTGGATCGTAAGATTCTATTAAAATCTAAACTTTAATCTAAGTCAAAATCAACAATTAATTTTAACCAAAATATTTCATTGAACCACAACTTTTCACCTATTTATTTCATCAACATTTATCAATACCTGCTAAAGGCCAAATATTAATTATTTGATATATTAAAACATAGACAAGTGTCAAATATTCACAACAAATTTACACTACAACTAGTAAGTGTAATTTTGTACTTATTTGGGCAATCAAAAGTGGATATTTGAGAGTGCTTTTATTGAATCGACACTTAATTTTGTTCGTATATTGATTGTTTTTAGGAGAAACTCGATGTTTGATGGTTGGAGAAAAGAAGCAAAAAGTAGATGAACAGGACTTCAAGCGAGGTAATTAAGAGGGGACCAAAGTTTCAAGATTTGAAAGATGAAGGACTTAGCTGTACAATAGAGGGAAGATTGGGACCAAATTGAAAAGGAGAAAAGTTTGAACCTTGCGATCGCAAGTTTACACCTGTGATCTTTGATCCACATATCCAAAATGATCCATCATAAATGTTATATGTTTAATGTTTCAATTGACTAAAGGATAAGTCAATTTACTTGGTAATACATTTCTAATGCAAGTAGTCATGGGTTAATTGGACGGAGGTAATAAGATACACGACTTTTAATGGTCTTATTCCTTATGACCACAGTATCACATGAGAATCATTATTAAAGAAGCTAGGGATATGCGATCATAAGGTCAAGATAACCCAACAGGTGCTAACCTTCACAAACGGCACCCACTTTTCAACGTATAAACCACGATCATATCCTCCAAGAGCTGTAAATGGATATAAATTTCACAAATTGATTGATTTGAGATTTAACTAAAATATGCAGAAACAATGTAGGAATACATGCATTTCACAAGAAAACGTGATTTGAAACTAGGCATTCTCCGCATAAACACAGTCTACTAATTCAAAGATGACCTTTCCAATTGCATGCTGTAACCTGCACTTTGCCCATATCAGTTTTATTTAATTTGAAGCTGAAAACAATCAGTTTGATATTCTATATATTTTATTTCTAAGACAGCCAAAAGCATAATTGTCTCTAGAGAATGATCACACTCTGGGTCCAAATTCAGACAAGGCATTTCCATGCCATCTGCACTGCAAGTAGTCCAATTTAAGAATTAAAGTATACCATTAGAAAGATAGTCACAAAGGTCATTAGACATAAAAAGTCTCATCTAATAACATAATTAAGACAATGGGTACACAGAAGTTTCACCGTGATGGTCAAAACCACAAAATCAAGATTAAACAACATGAGGGATTTTACAGCCCAATATTAGAGGATTACAAATATGTTACCATTTACAGCAGAAGAAAGCTCCTCTATACTTTTAGCAACAGCATTGCCACGACCATCATAAGCCAGCCTTTTGCTCTTTATCATAAGAGGATAACCAAATAGGTCTCCAGCTTTTTTAGCACTTTCAAGATCATCTATCTGTCTTGGCCATTTTTTGGTAAAATAAATCAGTAAATTCTTATTTTTGGAGAAAATATAAGCTCCGTTCTCAAAATTCAGATCTTTTTCGATATAAGATCACCTGCATGAATTCAGGGAGTGGAATTGCATGTTGAGAAAAATGAACCTTCTGAAGGTACTTATCCTGTTGACAACATGATAATAGAAATATAAGTTAGCTTAGAGGTAGCAATATATTCTACTAAAAAAAGCTCACTATACACTCGCCTTAGAACACAGATTTTTTAACATGACTGGCCTTACAGTACAAGTAATTTATTTAATTGTTTGCATTCGAGATGTTGTGCGAGTGTAAAGGTATGACACCACTGCTGGAATAGACAATCGAATGGTTTCCTAAGGACCAGTGTCACTGAGAACAGAATCAATGTTGAAAAACAGCAAATGCGCACAAGAAATACATTCAACTTAACGCATACAATCGGAAAGCTTAAGAAGAGGAACCCTTAATGCATAATGAGTTTCCGCCTTAAGAACCAAAAAGGTGATAAACCTGGATAATTCTGATTGTTGAGGCTTTAGGTTGGCAATCCACCCCTTGTTGCTCAAGTTTCTCAAGAGTGGCAGCATCAACATGCTCAATTTCGACAGTTAATACTCCACATCTACCAACCCCAATCCAAGTTAGTTATTAAAAAGGTCATTTAAACAAGATGAGTATTAACTATCAAGTAATAGAAGAAAATAACATTGGTGCTTTCAACTCCAACCTTTTAGCAAACTCTTCTAGTGTTGCACTATCATCATAGCTGCCCACCATATGATAATGACATAGGGCACTTGCTGGACAGTTATCCATTGGATCCAGAACAATTACCTTTATTGCCATTTGGGAAGCTGCTTCGCACAACATACGACCAAGTTGCCCTCCTCCCAAAACACCCACAACCTTTTCTGACAGACCATGGACTTGTGTCTCAGTGCTCCTGCATAAGCAACATCACCTAAAATTAATCAGAGCCATTATGAAAATCAAACACAAAACCACGAGTTCTAGTATTAGAATTCATAAAGTCAAATATGAGGAATTAAAACTAATTGATTAAAAATTAAAGCTAAACTACTTTAGATAAATTTCAAAAAGGGATGAAAATCCAATCCAGAACAAAACTATGTACTGAAGTATTTCACAACTACACTTATCTACCAGCATGATTAGTCTGAACTGAGTGAATTGGCTGTCTATAACATGAATTTAATTTCACTAAGCAACAAAGAAAATTTAAAAAAAAAAAATCATTGGTCATACCAATGATTTCATTATTTACAACTCTACTTTAAAAATCAGACTGATTTTCAAACACTCATTTGGGGTGATCTATTCTTTCAAAATTATAAAATTTAAATAAAATATTTTTGGCTAACTCTTCAAACCCCCCGCGAACACAAATATCAAATAATTATATCTACATAAATAAAAAAGTAAACAAAGAAAATAAGAACAAAAGGAGAATAGAATTAAATACCCATGAAAAGTTCCTTCAACTTCCGAGGAAACTTTGCAATGAGTTTGTTGGGCCCTAAATGTTTCGTTTGTCATCTTATAACAAGAAGAAGGCTTGAATTTGAAGCCTTGATTGAATGCGTTTCTTTTGTGTGGATTGATAAAAGATAATAATGAAGCAGAAGAGATTCTACTACAGTAGATTTCTTGTGGGCTCGGAGTGAGACTCAGCCCCTGCATTCTCTCCGACGAGACACGACCGCGGCTATTTCGCCCAAGCAATCTACCTGCAAAGTGCGAACGAAGGCGCCGCGCGATTTTTCTTTAGGGAAATTTGCAGCAAAGTCTCCACCTTTTTCTTTACGGTAATTTAGGGAGCTGCTTGTTATCAAAGTGCGAACTAAGGCGCCGCGCTATTTTTCTTTACGGAAATTTGCAGCAACGTCTCCACCTTTTTCTTTACGGAAATTTAGGGGGCTGCTTGTTTGAACCCCATTTTCTTCCCCAAAGAAAAAAAAAAAAAATTGTATTTTTCAATAGTGTTGGGATAGAGTATGATTTTAAAATAAGAAAAGTTTTGAATTTGTAAATAATATTATTTTATTGAAGAATATATAATTAAAATGGGATCAAATTACTGTTCAATAATACATTTTGATGAAAAAAATTGGACTCAAACAAAAGTTATATATAAAAAAGAGGGATCGAAAAGAAACTTTAGAATACCTATTTTACTATTACATTTTTAGCTATATGCTCAATACACTCTTATTTGATTTACAAATTTGTCCTTCAAATTTTTATTTTTGTTCAACTTTGTCCTTATTTAATCCTCCTAAAATTTTCATGCATTAAGTAAATTTTACAACGTATAATATTAAATATGGTTCTCATCTTTCAACCAATTGATCTTCAAACAAAGTATAATTTATGTATAATTCTTGATAGTTTATAATATAATGTTAAATAATATGATTTTATATATATGTGTGTGTGTGTGTGTGTGTGTTAAAAAATAATAATATGTAGTAATGTTTTTTATTCATTATTGAACATGTGTTCTTGATTTACCTTCATTGAACTAAGAAAAATTGAAAATTCTTGCATTTGAGAAAATGAAAACCAGAGTCATAAGAGAAAATCGAGATCAACAATTTTCAAAGAAATCGAAGGATCACACAAAAACAATCGCATTCATTATCCTTCAAGAAATAGTTAATAACATAGTCTTTCTTCACCACGGTTGAACAAAAAGCAATTAATTATTTGAATAATCACTGAAATTCTAAACCGTCAATGTAAACTGATTAAAAAATTATTTACATTCATTTGTAACATATTGTAAAATTTATGCCCATTATATAAAATAGAAATATTTCAAATGTTAACATTATGTATATAGCATTAAAATAATAATATCAATAATTGAAACTCGGGTATGAAAAACTTTTAGTCTTCATTTTTGCCCTTATATATTTGCTTTTGACAACCACGCCTTTAATTATAAATGTACAATAATAATTAATAATTATATTATAACTCCAAAAATTTAATATAATTCTATTTCATTTTGTCTCCTTTATAATACTAGTCACAGCTAAACGTGCATTACACGTTATTTTGAAATACTTTATAAACATTGTAAAAACGATATTTGATAATCAGTAAATATAAAAAATAATTAAAAAAACTGTTTATGTTAAATTAATTTTTTATACAATTCAATTATTTATTTACGCATATGATAAATTAACATTAATTTTTTTATATCCTACTATAATTCAATCAATT